GTGTGAGGCCTTCCTTGAAAACGTCCAGCACACCCGGTTTTTCGCTCGCAATCTCACTCTGCACTGTTTCCACTAGGCTCGCACTGTAGAAGGGGGTTATGAGGGCCAAGGCAGAGCACTTGAGGAGCAGGTGTTGGCCAATGGTTTTGGGAGAACTGTGAGGGGAAATCTCTCTGCAATGGAGATTTTTAGATATGTTAATGGACAGTAATCTTGGAAATTCCTTGAAGAATGTAATAGTCCAGGTCTCTCAAAGGCCTAAATTCTAGAGATAGTTATGAAATATGTCCTATGTAATAATATTTTCCTTAATAATCTTTAAACATTTCTACACAGCTTTTTTCAGCTTTGATGTTCTGCTGTGTCTTATGTATCTGACGTATGACAAGAAAATAAATATGAACCAGTAATGACCAAATTTGTCTTTGTGAAACTTGAACTATTAGGTCTCAATTGCAGCCAGGAGGAATAGACTGGCCAGAAGTCAAGAACAAAAAAATAAATAAATAAATAAATAAATAAATAAATAAATAAATAAATAAATAAATAAATAAATAAATAAATAAATAAATAAATAAATAAATAAATAAATAAATAAATAAATAAATAAATAAATAAATAAATAAATAAATAAATAAATAAATAAATAAATAAATAAATAAATAAATAAATAAATAAATAAATAAATAAATAAATAAATAAATAAATAAATAAATAAATAAATAAATAAATAAATAAATAAATAAATAAATAAATAAATAAATAAATAAATAAATAAATAAATAAATAAATAAATAAATAAATAAATAAATAAATAAATAAATAAATAAATAAATAAATAAATAAATAAATAAATAAATAAATAAATAAATAAATAAATAAATAAATAAATAAATAAATAAATAAATAAATAAATAAATAAATAAATAAATAAATAAATAAATAAATAAATAAATAAATAAATAAATAAATAAATAAATAAATAAATAAATAAATAAATAAATAAATAAATAAATAAATAAATAAATAAATAAATAAATAAATAAATAAATAAATAAATAAATAAATAAATAAATAAATAAATAAATAAATAAATAAATAAATAAATAAATAAATAAATAAATAAATAAATAAATAAATAAATAAATAAATAAATAAATAAATAAATAAATAAATAAATAAATAAATAAATAAATAAATAAATAAATAAATAAATAAATAAATAAATAAATAAATAAATAAATAAATAAATAAATAAATAAATAAATAAATAAATAAATAAATAAATAAATAAATAAATAAATAAATAAATAAATAAATAAATAAATAAATAAATAAATAAATAAATAAATAAATAAATAAATAAATAAATAAATAAATAAATAAATAAATAAATAAATAAATAAATAAATAAATAAATAAATAAATAAATAAATAAATAAATAAATAAATAAATAAATAAATAAATAAATAAATAAATAAATAAATAAATAAATAAATAAATAAATAAATAAATAAATAAATAAATAAATAAATAAATAAATAAATAAATAAATAAATAAATAAATAAATAAATAAATAAATAAATAAATAAATAAATAAATAAATAAATAAATAAATAAATAAATAAATAAATAAATAAATAAATAAATAAATAAATAAATAAATAAATAAATAAATAAATAAATAAATAAATAAATAAATAAATAAATAAATAAATAAATAAATAAATAAATAAATAAATAAATAAATAAATAAATAAATAAATAAATAAATAAATAAATAAATAAATAAATAAATAAATAAATAAATAAATAAATAAATAAATAAATAAATAAATAAATAAATAAATAAATAAATAAATAAATAAATAAATAAATAAATAAATAAATAAATAAATAAATAAATAAATAAATAAATAAATAAATAAATAAATAAATAAATAAATAAATAAATAAATAAATAAATAAATAAATAAATAAATAAATAAATAAATAAATAAATAAATAAATAAATAAATAAATAAATAAATAAATAAATAAATAAATAAATAAATAAATAAATAAATAAATAAATAAATAAATAAATAAATAAATAAATAAATAAATAAATAAATAAATAAATAAATAAATAAATAAATAAATAAATAAATAAATAAATAAATAAATAAATAAATAAATAAATAAATAAATAAATAAATAAATAAATAAATAAATAAATAAATAAATAAATAAATAAATAAATAAATAAATAAATAAATAAATAAATAAATAAATAAATAAATAAATAAATAAATAAATAAATAAATAAATAAATAAATAAATAAATAAATAAATAAATAAATAAATAAATAAATAAATAAATAAATAAATAAATAAATAAATAAATAAATAAATAAATAAATAAATAAATAAATAAATAAATAAATAAATAAATAAATAAATAAATAAATAAATAAATAAATAAATAAATAAATAAATAAATAAATAAATAAATAAATAAATAAATAAATAAATAAATAAATAAATAAATAAATAAATAAATAAATAAATAAATAAATAAATAAATAAATAAATAAATAAATAAATAAATAAATAAATAAATAAATAAATAAATAAATAAATAAATAAATAAATAAATAAATAAATAAATAAATAAATAAATAAATAAATAAATAAATAAATAAATAAATAAATAAATAAATAAATAAATAAATAAATAAATAAATAAATAAATAAATAAATAAATAAATAAATAAATAAATAAATAAATAAATAAATAAATAAATAAATTGTGGGGGTAGTCTGTTTTTGTTTGTTTGTGATGATATCTTTGGAATTATGAATAATTTGTTGACAGTACAATAATAAAATACAAATATCAATATATAAAACTCTCTTCTTTTTTCTTTTTTCTTTCTCTTACTAAATCTGTATTTCATTTCATCTTTGAAAATACACAACTGCATTTATACTCTTGTTTCCTAACATATGCTTCTACTCTGGAACTTACTTGGGCCACGGCGTGAACTTGGAGAGGCAATCCTCCAGTGCCAGGGTGACTCCCCTAACGGTCAGCACAGAGCCAAGACCCTTCCAGAAAGCCGACACCCCCTGGCAGCCCTGCATGTGGATTAAGGCCGGCACCAAGGTGATGGGCAGGAGGTGGTAACGCTGGCTGTTCACGTTCACCTGTGGATTGGGCCAGGTTGGAAGCGTTTTAGAAGATGATGAAGAAGAGGAAGAAAAGAAGATAATAAAAAAGAAAAAAAATGGTGAAGGCATGAAAGGAGATGTAGTAAAGAGAAAGGTTGAAGAAAAAGCAGAACAAGAGACAACAACAACAATAACAATGACAACAAAACAAAGGAAAAAACAAAGAAAAATACAGGAAAAGTAACTTAAAAATAAAAATAAAAGGAAAAAGAAAAAAGAAAAAAAATGCAGTATCAAAATGACAAAAACCACACCTTGTGTCTCCCCCCCCTCCACCCCCCTAAAACATCTTTTACCTGGCACTGCCTTCGGACCACGATGAAGGGGTGACTGAGCAGATTTTCCGCACACAAGCTGACAAGATTTATAGAGAGCTCGCCATACTTCTCCATCTGAATATCTGAAAAGAGAGAAATAGGGAAAAAGAATGAAAAGGAGAAATGATGACAAAGGTTGATAGAAGAGAAAGAATACAATAAAGGATTACTATAAAAATAATATAATAAGGATCAATACAGAAAACTCAATTTTAAGAGTCAAAATATAAATTGGTCAGCCATATCCATAGAGTCTTTATATACTATGTACCTATACCATTAAAGAAATGCATTATTTCATTAATTAAGTAAACCCACAATAGTGAGTGAGCAAACCATCCTATAATCATAAAATCTTTCTAAATATTACAAAGGCCATAATGAAATGCCGAATTCTCTCCTCTGTCATCGAAAAACCGATCTGGAAAGCTCCCTTGCAAAGACTGGAAACCCCTGCTTGTAACATCTGCATGATCTCCCTCCTGTAACTGAAGCCCTGCCCTTAACCTGCATCTTGAACTTCCAAAACAGACAGAAGATAAAGGTGGATTCTGTCTAGATTTTCAGACAAAACAGAGATTCTTTTGGAACTTGGATTCAGCACTGAATTATGGCCTCTGGGGAGTACTTGGAAGGTGAATAAAATGGTCAGTGGAAAATATAGGGAAAAGAAATACTTTATAACACTAATTTCTCTACTTCTGGTTTACACCTAGTATATAAGGGATCACAGTTTTATATGAAAAATGAGAGTGGGGACACACTACTTCCATATGAAAGTTCTTGAATACTTGTCCACAAAACGACAAGAAAACATTCAAATAAACAAAAAGACTTTTGGAAAAAAAAAAAAAAAAAAAAAAAATACTTTCCAAAATTCCATCTCAAAACTCTGTGAGATTAATTTCACAAAAAGACGCTCATGTCTTACCATTCGCTTTGGACGAATCCACAGTATCATAGGGCTTAGTGCCTGAGGCAGAAGGGGGGTGGGGGGCAAGAGCCGGGTTGAGCAGGTTCTGGGGGAATTCCGTTGGTCGCTTGAACGTCTCGCCAGGCATCATCATGGCTTCGTGGTGGGGCCGGTCGACACCCCCCCCTGCGTAGGTTTTCTGCCAGAAGGGGGTGTCGCGTTCACGGAGGTTCGAGAAGAACTGGTAGTCGTCCAATCCGGCCATAGCAGTGTAAAGGGGGGAAGGGGTCTGCACTGTGGGAGAGGGTGGGGAGAGGGGGGAGGGGGAAATATGGCTCGAGGGGGGTTATGCCTGAATCCTTGGCTAGAACGCTGCAGGTGATTTGTGTGCCATCTTCTAGCAAATCTGTTGGAGGGAGATCAAGGTTATTATTCCATTAATAAACAGGTTTCTCAAGCCATTTTACCATAAACATTAATAAGAAATAATAAAGATTAGTCTGTGAATAATAAAGGAAGGTCTATCTAATAATTTTCTAATAAAGTTGTTAGAGAAATAGTAGGACAAGTTCATCCTAGTTCGGAAAATAATAATCGGCGTTCTCTGGTGAATCCGCGCAAAACCATCAGTCATACTTAAGGGGCATGTTTGGGGTCATACATACAGATTTAAAAAAAAATCTTTTCCTATCTAAATACCAATGCAGTCAGTTTGACAAATTTCCCAAAACTCAAAACTTCAAAAGGAAAAAAACAACAACAACAATAAGAACAGCAACAAAATTCACATAAACATTATTAAAAAAAAGAAAATTAGAAAAAACATGCAAGATAGACTATAAAAATATTCTACACATGATTCCTTATTTTTCTTGTCTAATTCTAAAAAGGCCAAAAACCATTTCATTATTAATACCAGATGTATAAAATCATGACAAGAAAAAAGTTTCTAATTTTCTGAGAAAACTCTATTTAAAGATTATTTTTATTGTGTAATTGTACATGTCTCTACTGAAATTTATAGTCTTTAATTCCATCTATCCATTCATAGCATCACAGTTTCATGATATACAATATATTTCTTTACACATCTACAAGTATTACTTTTGATAAAATTATGTGGATTTACCCCTTTGCCTTTTTCACATTATTTTGCTGTATGTCTTCATCCTTGGTTGGAGCCAGCCTGAACCTAAGCTTTTCTGCATTAGCTCTAAGTGGGTTTACATACATACATACATACACTGTAAGAGTTAAGAAGAAAAAGAAGAAGATAAAAACAATACAGGTAAAGAAAGGGAAGAAGAAAATAATGATAAAAAAGAAACAAATGAAAAATAAAATAACATACAAGTCTCCCCCTCCCCCAACACCCATCTCTAACTCCTAACACGTACGGGAGAGAGAGTTTCAGAATCATGAAACACAACGGCATCAGTCAGGCATAATTACTCTTCCTTTGGCACTCACCCTCGAAGTGAGTGATCAACAAGTTGCCATCTGGTTGTCATTTTTTTTTCTTACTTTTTAAAATCTTAAGCTAATGATGTTTGCCATTCAAATAGGCATTATGTTTATGAATATTTGTTTATCTAAAGCAATAATTTTCTCTATGCTTCCCTATGTTGTAGAAAATATCAGTAACAATGTACTTTCAATCCTGAATAAATATGTATATTTAGGTTTAAGTGGCATCTAATATATTCTGTCTCCGATCCATGAAGAGTGTAGACTAACAATGTAATGACATTTTCATATTATGAAAGGTTATCTAAGTGACACGCCTATTTTGTAAAATATATATGGGGTGGGTTATACCACGGATACAGTATTTTATTTTTCTAAATGGGCCTTAATGTTGACATGCATCTCTAATATATATGAGTAATCTTATGAAAAAAGAGTTATTCTGCACACACACACACACACACACACACACACACACACACACACACACACACACACACACACACACACACACACACACACATTAAAAAAAGAAAAGAAAAGAAAACAAAAACACAATAAAGACAAAAAATGATAAATGAAAAATACAGTTACCATATATAACAGAGAAGGAGATGACGTTCACATATAAGATTAACACACAAATGGATAATTCACATAAAAAATAATAATATAAAATTATGGCTAGTTGAAACTTAACCTGTACCAGCATTGATAAACAATTTTGATGCAAATGAACAATCATTAAAAACAAGGCCATACAATGGTACATAAAGATAAATATTAACACCTTCATAAATAATAAAAAAAACACACTCACTGTCAAAAGAGAGAAAAAAATGCAGAAGTGAAAAATAACAACATAATCTCACATAGAAAGGCACATCTTTACTTTTGTCTACCTTTATGGGGTTCTACTGTTAACAACTACCAATAAAATATAGCAGAGTAAGTTTAAACCAAAGCAGAGATCTGTTAAATTCACACATTAATACCTTACTATAGCATTTACATGGAGTTGTACTGAGTTCGAATTAAATCACAGTTTATAAGATATATACAGCGCTGATAAACAACTTCAGAAGTTTTTTAAAATGAAGTTAAAGGTAACAGTAAACATAACAGACATATACAGAAATCAAAACTCAATTATGAACCATCTATGTCAATAAAAACAATTAAAATAGATATGTACAGAAAAAACTACAACAACGGAAGTTGCAATTGAATACGAAAAACTAAACTTTCCCATAGATATATCTTAGTTCTTTTAATTGAACAACTTCCTTCACGCTTATGAGAGAGAAGTGCTATTCGTGTTTCTCATGAAATTGACTTTAAATCGTTAATGGATTTATTTAACCAAATAACAAGAGCAAAACGACATGAACAATTTAATTATTTTTCACGAGGATTTTACTCACCATTTCATTCCTTTAATTTCCTCCCAAAATGGCATGAACAGATGCGAAAACGGGAGACAGGAACACAGGGGAGAGGAAGAGGATAACACCCAACAAGAATAAAAGGAGAAAAAGAGAGAAGTGTTGATAAAAATGACGTTAATAATAATAATAATAACAACACG